GAAACATGGAGGAATCCTACACTTGAAAAATGACGTAGAGACTAATTTTAATAATAATTCTAATAATAATAATAATAATTATTATTATTATTATTATTATAGAAAGGTCAACTGACTGTTGACAAAATGATGTTAGTAATAGTACAGAAATATCTATACTATAATAATAACAACAGTAATATTGTTGTATGAACTTTGTTGGACATGGATGTAACGTTGATAAACTTTTTCATTTTAAAAACTTATTTGTTCACCAAGTTATCACATGTTAATAATCATTCTAAGCATGAACTTCCTATTCCTTGTTGTTATACATAAAACTTTTCATTCAAGATTAATTGAGTTCAAATGAATACTAATAGTGAACTTAACAATCTCACAAACTTATTTCATGTTGATATTCAGTTTATCTTTTATTCTTAATACATGGTGTAGAGCATAAAATTTGAAAACATTCTTGATTCGTTGGCTATATTTATTTGTCATCATTTGAATAAGATAAATAATATACTGTTATGAGAAACTTTTCATATAATTATCACAATTGTTGACTTATTTCAGTTCAGTTGATTGATTGTGGAGATTAGTTCAAAGGACGAAATTAGCTTACATCACTCTCACTACACCTAGCTACAAATCAAAGAGCAAAAAAACAGTTCTTTCTTTTTAGTTTGAGATTCCTTAGTAGCCCAAACTTATGACCTCAATAGAGCATTCAGGCCTCCCAGTGAGACCCCAATAATGATTTAGACAACCGAGTCAGAATTCAGCTACCAACTTGCATTACAGCAGAACAATCACCTAGCAGTCCTCCAGTTGATATCCATCAGTGACTAAACCGATCTCGTTACTCAGGTTTTATCAATTGGACAACAACACAACAAAATATTTTTAGTAAAGAAATATGAAAAAGCAAACATCTGGTTTAATACTCTATCTCAAAAAATAAAGCCGAATGTTTCAAGGCTACTCCATTGCCATTATATACCGATTACTTGATTATCCAGCTTTGGAGGTTATTGCTTAAACCGTCTTACAATCTAAAGATTGAGTGATATTAAGTTAATTTCCCGAAGGACTGAACAGTATGACACCAGAATTCTGAAATACTCTAAATAGTATTTAACTTCTATTCATGAATAAAAATCAATCATAATGTTGAACGTTGTAAAAAGCATATGAAGTACATAAGATCACTGAAATATTTCTTTACATTACCACAAGCCAGTCACTGATCCTTACTTAAAAAACAATAAATGAGAATGAAATATTTTAACTATCAGCGTTAAGTACCATCTATTTTACATCCAATATGTACATTCAATTAAAAATAAACTTTTAATTAACAAATCCTTAAACAGTCAGACTATTGTTACAATCTTTGTAAACACTTAATTTAAAACCACAGCTTATCAACTCAATGGTTCTCAGTAAATTGTCAATTATATTGAAAAATGAACAAACTTCTTTTGAGTCCTAAAAATTCATTGTGACTAACTGAAAAGTTGTTTATTCTAACACAGTGCGCAAAATAACCTGATGTAGGCATTGATTTTTAAAATTATGTTGAATGCAAATCAAAAGTAGGCTTACATTTAGCTTATTATAATAATGCACAAGTGTAAAGAAAACTACCAACTTCGAGATCAATAAGCTGGATTCCGTAAGGATCGGTCGTGCACAGACCAAATTGCGACATTACGGATCATCGTTGAACAAACAATTGAGTGGAACTCGTCACTGTACATCAACTTCATTGATTATGAAAAGGCATTTGATGGTGTAGATAGGAGTACATTATAGTAACTTCTTCGAAACTATGGAGTTCCTGAGAAGATTGTCAACATTATCCGGAACTCATACGACGGACTACAGTGCAAGATCGTGCATGGAGGACAGCTGACAGATGCATTCCAAGTAAGGACCGGAGTCAAACAAGGCTTTCTACTCTTTCCATTCCTCTTTCTTCTGGTGGTCGACTGGATTATAAAGACCTCGACATCTGAGGGAAAACACGGAATACAATGAACAGCTCAGAATCAATTAGACGATTTGGACTTCGCAGATGACCTGGCCTTCCTATCGCATACACATGAACAAATGCAGATACAGTCAGTGTAGCAGCAGTCTCTGTATCAGTAGGCTGCAGCATACACAAGGGAAAAACCAAGGTCCTCAAATTCAAAACGTAGAACAGCAATCCAATCACTCTTAATGGAGAAACTCGGGAAGATGTAGAATCCTTCACATACCTGGGAAGCATCATCGATGAACAGGGAAGATGAGATGCAGACGTAAAGGCGAGGATTGGTGAAGCAAGGGCCTCATTCCTTCAATTGAAGAACATATGTAATTCAAAACAAGTTTCAACCAATATCAAAGTCAGAATTTTCAATACTGTTGAGTCGGCTTCCGAGAACTACAACGGAGCCTCCAGAGGCCCTAATGGAGCCGAAGAGTTTCAGCCAATCAGAGCATGAGGGAGTTTTCTAGAATATTAACATGGTATGCTACTATTGGTCAGTAGCATAATATGTCTCTTAGAAGATTGGCCAAAATATAATGTTGATATGACGAATGCTAATAATCTATAAATACTCGTGTTTTTCTGTACAAAAATGAACCTTCGGAGCAAAGTGCTTTTCGCTTAATTTGCGCCTCTTCTCTCGTGCTAAGGTCGCTGCGTAGTTCTAGCTTGCGGGTTACCAGAATAGTTTAGGAACCGAATAAAGCGTTCAAATTAGCAAAACTTATCATTGACGACGCGGTGAAGAAAATTCGGAACCTAATCTTCAAATTGGCAAATCAAGGTCAGCCTGCAGCTGGACGAAATTCAGTGCAATTATTTCGAGCAGTCAACATACAAAATTCTTGCCGGTGTCCTTCAACGACATTGATTGTTAAATAGTCATACAGTATTTTTTATTACGGTGCTGATTCAGTAAATGGTTATCTCTTCCGATCAATTACAGTTGCAACACCAGCGTTTCAAAAAGAGCCAGTTGAATGTTTTAGACAATTTGCACACGCGGCTGATAACTCATCCATTTTTTTAGATATGAAAGAGGTTCATAAATTAATTTCTAATTTGCATACAGAGCTGGAAAATGACTGCAGAACGTATGAACGTGTCGATGAAACCTTCCGTGAATCCTCGGTGAGCGGTAATGTAAACGAATTAGTAGCAGTCATTCATGATGCGTCCAGTGATCCAGAAATGTCCATTTCAGAGACATGCCCTTTCGTGGGCTTAAATCCCATCGTCCCCCAAACACTGGATTGTTGAGCTCACAGAAAGACGATGTCTTATTAAATGCTCATGAAATTATTGCATTACCCGCCCACAAAGAAACAGAATGAATCAAGTATCATAATTAGGACAGTTGCATTATATGGAACTCATCATTCTACGACAAAAGTTTCTGATGAATGTATTTATTAGCATTCTCTAGTTGTTTTACCAGATATGAGTTATCTTAATGACTCACATGCCTTTGATCAAATTTCTTACAAGAATGAGGAAAATTTGTCGGATTTATCAAACGATGATCAAGAACCTAATAAAATTTTGATAGATGCTGATTATTCTAGTGGTCGATTATCTACTAATAAAGTTTTCAAGAGATCTGACGAAAACGTTTCACAAGAATCATACCTTAATGACCTCATGTCTAGTGTCGTTGATCCTCACCATCTAGTCAGTTCCAGTGGATTCTCTACACAATGCGAGAAATATGCTTTAAATAAAGTAGCTTGGGAATATGAGGACCCAACATTATTTCTTGGGGGAGGATGAAGTCATAAAATTTAAAGATGGATCTCAACTTTGAGTCTTCATTATGAGTTTTGTTCAAGATTAATTCCGTTTTGATTCAATGTAATGATTATTCAATGTAGTATTTGTTTTCTTTTCTCATATGATATTTTATTCTGTATAATATGCGATATTCTTGTATTCCATTGACATGAACTATGCGATGTGATTTGTTATAACTCATATATGTGATTTCATCCTAATTATTAATCAAAATGGGTGTATAATCAATATATAAATGAGTGTATTTTCTACTAAAGTAGTCATGTTTTGAGGTTAATAAATCATCACTTATACCAGTCTTTGTGTTCTTTCGCGTCGTGGGAATTGCAGAGGTTCCTCGTTCTGAGTATAATTGATAAGAGTTTCCGACATAACAATCAGAGACGACCAAATACAAAAACTAGCGTTAAAAGAGCGAAGATAATAAGCATTCAAACGAAAAGTCATAACAAATACCATCAAGGCAGTTCTACTGTACGGAGCTGAAACTTGGAGAACTACAACAACCACCACCAAGAAGGTACAAGTATTTACATTTACTGAACTACTTATAATCCACTGATTACAATGGATGGTTTACGCAGTATCGTCAGATTTTTACAAAATCAAATATTCGAACATAGAACAGTTAGCCGATCAGTGAGGCTCAGTCAATATTAAAAGTGTTGGGGATACTAAATTCCCGGAAATCACTTGGAAAACGTCACGTTTTTGTAGTTTTAATTTTGGAATTTGAACTTCCCATTTTCGCGCCCACTTTTACCTTCAGTTTGTATTTCCCACTTGTAATGACCTTAAGTGGCGTTTGCTCATTTCCTCTTTCAGTACGCGATTTTGTGACGTTTTTCGAGAACATGTTTATACTAAACATATATATGAATGGGTTGTGTGTTTGTTCGTTCGTACTTCCGACTGCTTGTGGAATATGCATTTCCTTCGGCTGAATCTGGTCTTCTTCCTTTAGTTAACAAGGCTGGGGCGCACTAGAATAGCTTAGTTTGTCCTATCGCTGTGTTGCTGACTTTCGTTCCGCTTTTCGGTTTTTGGTGATTCGTAATCTCTTCAATAGTAGCGCAATTTGTTAGATCTACTCCTATGACGATAATAAGTGGTATAATAAACGTGAATGAAATTAAAACTTTAAAGTATCCGAAAAACTGGTACCGGCTCGAGAACATTCAGACGAGTAACAAGGTTAGATTGAAGATACAAATGAAAGTAAAAAAAAATCGACTGTAGCTCAATATCGTGAGTATATCTAACAAAGATAATTATATGCCTAGTATGAAGTAAAACATGTATCCAACAAGTTTTTCCTGTTATTAGGTGTATTTATGAGATTATTTTTGAAGTACGAAAATGTTTAGTAAATAAAAACACTTTCAACTAACAAAACTAAACAAGGTCATATACATTTTCTGTGCGCCTTGATAAAAATCAATTACTGAATTTTATAAATTAAATAACACGATATAGCGCTTCCATTTTTTTCAAGAAACCATATCAAATATATAAGGGTATGTAATAAGATAGAAAACATTTGTGAATGAGTTAATTTAAAACTGTCTTTCATATTTCGTTCATCTAGAATGATATTATTTATTCTATGCTTTTTGCAGTTACAATAGGAGTGTGTTAACTGAATATACAATTCAAAGTAAGGAAAGACAAGACATTTAATAGCAGCTTAACAGTAGTATGTATCACAGTTGTTCTGTGGAATTTCCATTCCATCGGGCTTGTTCATCATCCGAGCTATCAGGCATGTGCGAAAGACGAGCAACATTACCCTATAAAAGAGATGAAATATAGCACAATCAATGATGATATTATAAACATTAAATGTAGTTAGAATTATAACATATCAATTCCGCCTTTAGAATGATCTTGAACTTACTTGACGTCTTACAGAACGATTTTGTTTTGTATCATTTGGAGGTACAGTATTTCCAGGAGGATTACTATTAGATTGCTGAGTGCGAGAACCTGTCAGACTGGATACAAGACTCTGTCCCAACGAATATAATCCACCTACTGCCCAACCAATTAAACCATAAGTAGTGCTGAAGCCTGAACTGATAATATTGTAAAACTGGGACACGATTCCATCTATATGAAAAAAGAGAAATTATTAAATAGAAAACATATCCATTAAAGGATCTTTAACAAGTTCTATATCTTCTGATCATAAAAATTTAACAAAGTAAATAAATTATTTAATAACAAGACACATAAGTTTCATTGTTGAAATAAACACAATATCTACAGTTAACATCGGATTATGATTCACGATGAAATATTACTCATCACTTAAAGATTTAGGAAAGAAATGACTATACAAAAATCCGAAAACACTCATTCAAAGAATGAATACCAAGTATGCTAAAACCTGACTCTTGAATTATCAGAAAGTATTTACATACAATTTCACATTCCAAATCTTCGTAAACTAGTTAAAGCAGTGAAATCTTAGGCTTTTCATTTATTGGTAATGAACTAATTCTATTTACTGCTGATGACAACTGGATATTTGTAACACCTACTTAAAACCAGTCTTAGTGATGTTGCTGAGAATGATAATAAAAGCTTCGTAACTACATAATTCATCTGAAAATACCCGAAATCATTAAAATCACTCAGCATATTTTGTAAATTAAAGTTAATTAATTAGAAATAAAGATTTTATTTTAACAGTTGAATTCACAAGTCGGTCTAAGCTAGACTACCACAGAAAACCTGGAAGTACTAAGCAGACGTTTCGTCCTAGTACGGAACTCCTCAGCAGGGCGCATCCACAATTCATACGCAAGACTCGAACCCAGGATCTTCAATGTCGCACGCAAACACTTGAGTCGGCATCCGACGGTGTACAAGTTCAACTTCAATCAGTACATGATCCTGCGCAACTCTTCATCCATTATCTGAAGTGGACAACTGTCTCACACCCGACACGGATTGGACTCCACTGGTCACTGCTTCTCACTAGAACTCCAAAAAATCCATCAGATGAGCACATGATTACTATCAGTATAGGGATTTGTGGAGATCGTAGTATTTTTTTACAGTTGAGTCCCGAGTGCGGGATCGTAAGTGAGCACTACTGAGGAATCCCATACCATGACGAAATAACCTTTTGGTGTTTCTAGGTTTTCAATGGTGGTCTAGCTTAGATCGACTCGGGAATTCAACTGTTAAAATGCCACAATCTTCACAAATCACCATACTAATAAAAAGTTTATTGTTATCATATTATCCGAATGTGTTTAATTTTCAAATATTAAATGGTTTTCTAATAGGGAAATAGAAATTTACTATTACGATTATTCTTATCCGAACACCAAACAATACCTTCGATAGAAAAGTTAACTCCAATGAATTTTATGTAAATTATGAGATTAACTGGACAAATTGCACAATACTAGTAATGAACTTATTCATTGTGAATTGGATATCACGACATAAAAATAAATAGTAAATGAAAAAAAATAAAGTCTGAAAATTTTTAGAAATTGTGTAATATGAACAATAAACTAACCATTTGAACGCGTGATAGCTTGATTAGATTTGTTTAATACAAGAAACAATGCAGCTGATGGATAATAACCAAGTTCTTTTAATGACTGAGATTCGTCTTCTGGTCCTAAGATCCTATATGGAAAGTATCAAAAAATGGCAACATTATTAAAGTAAAAAATATGGGATCGATATTTTTTAAGAGCACACAGTAATAAGATATACCTAACATAATACTTAGGGATATACTTTGGAACTAATTTTAACATTTTTAAGATAATATTTGGGTGTATCTATCTTATCACACACAAATCAAGATATACTATTAATTTTTTATGCATAAATTAAGAAGTACTACCAACTAGCGGTTTATGAAAAGCTCGGAAGAGGACACCTTTATGATCCGATTAAGGACTGATAAGTTTCTTGTTACTATACAATGAAGATGACGTAGTGTGAAAATAGAGCAACAGAGAATGTTTACTCCATTCGATGCAGATCTTAGTCGAAGCATAATTTAACTAGAAATAGCCCATTTTCTTCTGTTAGAAGTAAGTTAGTGCGAAATTATGTCACTTTTGACCTATTAAATGATGAGGAAGAACTGCCTAAGAATTCTGTTGCTTTCTGATAATTCATCAACTTTTCAAGGAGTCTATAAGTAATTTTTGTGAAAAGTCATCGATAAAAGCTTTTACGATACGATAAAAGATTTGAACATACACTAATCTTTATTCGAATGAATGAAAATTTACTGTGAAAGAAGTTGATTTCAAGATGACAAAAACCTATTATAATTTTTTAAATACCTATGTCGAGCAGAACTAACAAAATACATTGTCTTCATTCATCATCTAGTCAGTGACATTCCTGATTTTTATGATCATTTATGATCGCCAAAATGGGACATAAAAATCTAAAGGTCGCTAAAGTGCAGTAGTTATAATGTGGTTGTACCAATTCTAATTTTGAAACAAAACAATATTTCAAAAGAAAGTAATCGCAAAATATTATTGTGTATGCTACTTATGTTGACAGATATAAGTAATATATAGCACCAATAAGAAATGAAATGCCTGGCATCAGAAGATTGCAATGAAAAGAACAGGAAAAAAATCTGAGAGCAATCGAAATAACAACAGAATTAGAGGAGTAATGGGGTATGTAAAGGACAACACAAAGATGTGCAAATGATGTATTTAATGTCTGGTTTTCACATTTAACTAGGCCACTGTGATTTTGCGTTAAAAAATAAATTGATTATCCCCATCAAGTCTTTATTCACTAAATTATAACAGCGACAATGCTAAAGTAAAATATTTTCAGAGTGTTCACTCTTACTCAGTTAGAGTCACGCATTTTCACGAAGTAGACATTGAAAAAATTATTCAGGCCATAGTGCTAGGCCTCTCTTATATAAGCAATAAACGAAAGAACTTCTGTATATTTCCAACAGGATTTGTATGAAAGCGCCTATTTATTTATTTTTTTAAGATTTATTGCGCATGTGGTCTAGGATTTCTTATTTTCAATTCTGTCAACCTGATTTTAAGTGGATTGTTAAAGAGGAACACAATTCAGAGGTAATAAACATCAAGCAAACAAGTATTAACGTGTGGATACGAGTTATACAAAATGGCTTTGTGGCTTCGCAAAACGTCCCGCTTATAAACATTAGGGTTTCCCCTGGATCCATACAAATCATTGAAGTCCGTGGGTCTGCTCCGGATGACCGTGAGTTTGACAACAAACGACTGTTACGTATCGAATTTGGGTAAAAATCGCATCAGAACCGAAAAGGCTGATGGTCGAAGTGTGCGAATGATTTGAAAGCAGCAGCTGCATCTTGTAACTGCCGGAAGCTCTTTCAACTCATCCGAGCCACTGGCATCAAGAAGTCTGGTATGAGCGAAACAATCTATGAAGATGTCAATCATTAACACGTTTGGGACGATGGGCAGAATTTTTCGAGGAACAGTTTAACTGGTCTGCTGCTACGGCAACATCGGTCAGACTGTCCTGCCCTCCATGGCCGGTGACGACTGATCCACCAAACGAGGCGGAAGTCCGCAAGGAACTCCAACTCTTGAAGCGTTACAAATCACCTGGCTCAGATGACTTACCTCCGGTTCTTTTTAAAGATGGTGGTGACTTCCTGACTAAGGAATTGACGACGTTGTTTACAAAGGTTTGGGAGCTAAAGAGTGTACCAACGTCATGGAATGAGTCGACAGTTGTCCCTAGCTTTAAAAAGGGTTCACGTCGTTCCTGTAACAACTATCGGGGGATAAGTCTACTTCCGATTGCGTCCAAGCTATTGGCTTCCATCATACTTCGTAGGTTGTTCAAAACCCGAGAAAGATTGACTCGTGAGGAGCAGGCTGGTTTTCGTTCTGGTCGAGGATATATTGATCATATCTTCACCCTCCGCCAAATGTTAGAACACCGCCATACTTATCAAAGGCCAACAATCGTAGTGTTTCTTGACATCAGGGATGCTTTCGATTCGTTGGATAGGACTGTTCTCTAGGATTGTCTATTGGAGAAGGGTGTGCCTGAGAAGTTCATTAACATCTTAAAGACCATACAACCATCTCTCTCCATTGTTCCATTCAAGCAAGGTTGCCCAATCTCACCATTCCTCTTCAACTTTGCCATCGATGACATTCTGGAAACAGCTCTGATGGATGTAAGTAATGGCGGCGTGGATCTGTTGCCTGGAGAAAGACTTCTCGACCTTGAGTATGCGGATGATATTGTCTTACTGTGCGATAATGCCCAAGCCATGCAATTCGCACTTAATCAGTTGGCAATCAGTGTCCGTAGGTATGGTATGTGCTTTGCACCTTCGAAGTGCAAAGTACTTCTACAAGACTGGCAGGATTCCAATCCTGTACTCACCCTGGATGGTGAGCAGATAGAAGTAGTCGAGAAGTTCGTGTATCTGGGTAGCTGCATAAGTGCTGGTGGGGGTGTGAGTGATGAGATCAATGCACATATAGTGAAAGCCAGAGCGGCTTATGCCAATCTAGGCCATCTTTGGCGCCTTCGTGATGTTAGCCTGGCTGCAAAAGGTCGGATCTGCAACGCGTCAGTGAGAGCAGTTTTGCTCTATGCTTGTGAAACCTGGCCTCTCCGAGTTGATGACGTTAGACGACTCTCTGTGTTCGATCATCGCTGTCTCCGAAGGATTGCTGACATTCAGTGGCAACACCATGTTAGTAATGCAGAGGTTCAGCATCGTATATTCGGGCACAGAGACGATAATGCAATCGGTGTCACCATTTTGAAACATCGACTTCGGTGGCTTGGACATGTTCTACGAATGTCATCCCAGAGAATTCCACGTCGTGCATTATTTGCCGACCCTGGGACTGGTTAGAAAAAGTGGAGAGGTGGTCAGTGTATGACATGGTGTCGTGGGATGAAAGAAAGCTGCAAAGGGCTGGCTTGTGTTGGCCCTTCATGACTCCCTGGCTGGGGTCCGAGAGATAGCGCAACACAGTGGCTAGAGACGTTATCAGATATGGCTCAGAATAGAAGCCAGTGGCGATCCTGCTATAACCTTCTTTCACTTTCTTCATAAAAAAACGTAACTTCTTTAAGTGGAACAAGTCTCTGTGGCTGTACTTTTGCTAATTGAAATGTCTCTCGGATTTTTGTTATTTCATTATCATACACTAATTTCTGTTCATTGTTACACCGTTTTTTTTCTTAGACGCACCTTACATTCTTTATATCTTTACATTCTCATTATTGTGTGACGCATATGTATCTGGCGCCCCTTTGTACCAATATTTATGTGTTCAAATAAATAAATATACAAAGTAGTCAAACTGACATCAGCACGACACACTGAGGGTTACCTTTTAGGACATAACTGCAGAAACCGAAATCCTTGCAAGACTAAATTTTTAAAGTTATTACGGTCAGTTTCACTTAAAACTTGAGAGTTATCCACCATCTGGAAATCACAGGACACCAACTCTTGAAGCCAATTTCGTACATCGTAAATAGTCGCCGTAGAGGGGAATCGATGAATTACACGACCACCTTCTAATGATTTTAACTGTAACCGAACCTACAGTAGGAAGTGGAACAAAACATTCAATATAAAATGGTCATCAAAGTTAGCTTGTGTTACATTCTCCTCAGTTACGTAATTCATCGGTATACAAAACTAGGGCTAAATTATCACAGTGATTACTCAGTATATTAGCATGCAATATTTGACTGAGGAACAGAAACCCAGGAAAAGATAATCATTCCGTGGAAATTTCGTTTTCGTGAGAAATAAAGAAGTTTCATTGCTCTCGAGGAATCAATTTTGAGATATAAATTGTAAGTTAGCCATAGAAACTTACTGTTTCATTATTACAGTCAATCAGTCGTAAAAACAACGTAAGACTTGGCACGAATCTGTGCATGTCCAAAATGTTATAGTATAAGTCATACGAGGGACAGAAAAATAGCATTTTGTTATGTCATCAAAACAGAATGTCGAAGGTCTAACGGTTAGAGATTCCTACAAAACATAGGTCACTAATTTAATTCAATAAAATTTAATGAAGTGATGCTCAAAAGAGTAAAAGCGAATAGAGATCTATGGTTGAAAAGACTTTTATTTACTGGATAACTGACTAACAAGCTAAAATATACTCTGAAATATATTTAAATAAAATCACATAAGTCGGCTACTTTGCGTAATCCAGTAACCAAGTGTAGTTTCTAGTATTCAGATTAGAGTTGCGCTATTCACACGATGGTGTGTGATACAAATGGACTGTAAAAACAGAATCAAGTGAGATAAGGTCCGAGTATGTAACTCAAGAGTTGAAATTCAACAAGCGTAACTATCCAGTTACATTGAATAATACAAAGAAAAAGCAGGAGTTATAGTAATAACTGTGAAGTGATTCTAGATAAAAAATATTTCATAGTTTTATCTGCATAAACCTTTGTTATGTATCTATACTCATAAATCATGAAGCATCTAAAGAACAATTTTACATATATATATATATATATAACTAAACAAACACGATTTATACCTCATCTGAGTAAGATGAACTTTTAAGAAATTCTTGTGGAGGATGAACTGAATTACTAGATGTTTTAGATTGCGAACCATACATTCGTGACCATCTTTCTTCCCTTGCTTTACGATCCTCTTCGATCTGTTGACGCAACTGTTCCAGTCGTCTGCGTGATTCCGCCTCGTCTTTACGACGTTCAGCTAGAATTTCATCAATTTCCTTTTGCTTTTGACGTTCCTAAAGCAAGAACAAAAACGTCCACAAACGAATAGCACTATACAGAATTTCATAAAGAAGAGTTTACGTGATCTTTCTTCAATGATGTCTTTATTTAAATCTTAAACGGTAGTGAGCCATTGAATAAAATGTAGACGGAATTATACAAACCACAAGAAAATGAAACACTAAAGTGAGGATTTCATCATAACATATGAACAGTAAAACTGGTAATTGAAAGTAAATATGATTTCTATTTTTATGCATTTATTCTACGGGAGTCATGATACTGTTTAAGACAATTAGAAGAATCTGATGGATATTTGAATGGATTAACCGTGAGCTTTTAGTAGGGGCATTTGTCATGAACCACTGAATGATTCCATAAACTACTGAACCCAGAAACCCGGTGATAAGAGCGTGGAAACGATCTGAAAGCACAACTTGTAGCTCCCGAAAGCTCTTTCAATTTATTAGAGCCACTGGTAGCATGAAGTCTAGTGAGCAAAACAATCAGTAAATCTGGTTGGACGTCGAGGAATAGTTTAGATGGTTTGTTGCTGTAGTAACATCAACTATACCGTCTTGTTTTCTATGGCCGGTGAACTACTAAACGAGGCGGGAGTCAATGAAAAACTGACTCCTGTGATACTATAAATCATCAGACCCAGACAACTTACATCTCGCTCTTCTTAAGTATGGTGGCAAACTTCTGGTGACGGAACTGACTGAACTGTTGGAAAGGTTTGGGAATTCAGTCAGTCAGCTACAACGTAGAACCAGGCACATATGTGCATCGATCCAAGTTGCCATACCTCATTAACACAGCAAGATGAACACCGAATTCATAAAAGTAGTTAATTCAGAGGTGGTAATATATAGGAGAAAGATTGCATATAAGGATATAGTACAGGAAGGAAGAATTAGTTCGTAGAAAGAAAGATATGAAGCGATTTTAATCTCTTAGTTTAAGGGAAGACAGGGAGTGTATACACCGACGCCATTGTGATCGATTCTGAGCCATGTCACCAAGAGTCTCCAACCATTGGTTACGATAGTCACGCGGACCCCAACCAAGTAGTCTGCATCTACCAACATGGCTCAGACTAGAAGTTAGTGACTTCAAGCACTGATGCCACGTTCTGGTTTGGCCGCCCCTCACTTTCTTCCAACCATCTCCAACACCGGTTAGCATTGCACGTCATGGTGATCGGTGTTCAGGCATACGTAACACGTGGCCCAACCATCTCAGTCGATGAAGATTCACAACCTCATCAACTGATTTACCATCATTCCCTAATGCCCTGTGCCTAACCTCACTATTACTTACCCGGTGATCCCAGCAGACGCCAGCAATATTTCTAAGGCATCTGTGGTCAAATACTAGTAGCTTACGAGTGTCTTCAACTCTTAATGGCCATGTTTCGCTGCCGTAAATTAAAACAGAACGGACTGCCGCGCAGTATACTCGTCCTTTTATTGATAGACGGATATCTCGCCTTCGCCAAAGGTGACGTAAGTTGGCAAAAGCCAAACGAGCTTTTCGAATCCGTGCTGAGATTTTGTTCGATACCAACCCATTAGGGCTGATCAGACTTCCAAGATAAGTGAAGTTGTCAACGCGTTCGACTACTTCACTCCCTATCCTTAGTTCAGGTGTTGACGCAGGCCAGTCTTGAAGCAACAACCTGCATTTAGAAGGAGAAAAGCGCATTCCAAACATTCTGGTATTGTTGCTTAGTGCTACCAAAAGACTGCATTTTATCAGCGCCTTCACCAAACAGCACTAGAATCGTTGGCTATGGTGTTACTTGAGGAGGAAGCCGAAAGAGGAAATTTAGAGGTGAAAGTCGATGTAGGAGGAGTAATAGGAAGTGAAGACAGAGGTTGATTAGGAATACAGTGGTCTTGAGTGCTGTTAGAGGTATGAGTGCGGTTATCACTTCCCGGTTGCCCACACCGTGGAAGGGTTCTTCTGGAGGTACCTGAAAACAAAATTGGATTAGAGGTGGTCTTAGTGACTTGAGGGCGTGACCGCAGTGCCCAACGGACAACTGCTTGAGGTCGGTCACACACGACCTTTTAAGGGGTAATTTTTGTGTTAGCTCCGTACTTGTTGAGACCTTACCGCCGGAGATGGATATCCGTGGGATAAGGCGAGGTGTGGATTTTTAGGTTCGACCGTTTCTAACGCCACCCCTTCTTGTGGGAAGGCAGCATCGCTGTTATGCTGGTTGTCTGAAGGAAACACCTTTCTGCTGTCACGCCTCTGTACAGTCAGTAGTACGACTTCACCTTCGGACCTTAAGTTTTTTGCTTTTAGTCTCACCGCTCTTCAACCGACCTGTCTGACATGATAGGACCTTGAGGAACGATTGTTCTAGCCAGTATAGCTCGGTTGCTTCACCAAGATAGGCAAGCCCGACCACCACGTCGAGGTAGCAACAACGGTCGGAGATTGGGAATTAAAAAGTATTCCAACAGTCTGCAATAAGGTGACCGTTATCCCTATTTTTTAAAAGGATTTACGTCATTTATGTAAAAACTACCAGGTGATACGTCTACTTCCAATTCCGTTCAAACTATTGGTTTCCATCGTACTTCACCAACTACTCCAAATACGTGAAGGATCGACTAGCGAATAGTCTGGTTTTTGTTTTTGTCAAGGATGCATTTTTCATTTCGTCATTTTCTACCGCATGTTAGACTACCGTCATAATTATTGGAGCCCAACGATCGCTGTATCTCTTGATATCTAAGCCGACTTTGAGTTGTTGGACAGGACTGTTCTATGAGGTTGTTTGTAGAAGATAGTTGTGTCTGAGGAGTTTAATAACATCTTGAAGGCTCTGTGCACGAACAGATTAGGTAAAGTGTATACAACCACCTATATCCATAGATTCATCCAAACAGTAGGGTTAGGTAGAGTTGCCCAATACCACCATTTACCTTCAATTTTACCATCAACGACATTATGGAAACAGATAAGATGGAAGCAAATCTGTTATCTGAGTAAATCCTTCTCAACCTTTAGTATGCAGACAATAATGCCTTACAGTGAGATGATACTCAAGCCACACAAATCGCTATTAGTCAGTTAATAATCAATGTCCATAGGTATGGTATATACTTTGTTGATTCTAAATGCAAAAAACTTTTACAAGATCGCCAGAACTCAGTACATTAACTCACTCTTGGTGGTAAACAGTTGAAAGTAATCGAAACGTTCGTGTATTGGGAGAGTTGTGTGAGTCCTCGTGGTTGCGTGAGTAATGAGTTCGATTTAAATGCAGTGAACCAGAGCGGTTTATGCCAATCTTCAAATCCTTTCATACAGTCGTGATGTTGATCTGGTTAAAAAGTGTCGCGCATACAACGCATCGGTTGGAGAAGTTTTACTCTACACCTGTAAAACCCCACCTCTCCAAATTAAGCATGTTAAGCCACTCTCTCTGTTTTTACTCATCTTTGTCTCCGAACGATTCCTGACATTCAATCGCAATACCATACTAGTAGTGTGAAGGTTTGGCAAAGTGTGTTCGGCCACAGTGACGATAATTCAACTGGTGTCACCATCTTGAAACACCAATCTCGGTGGCTTTCACATGTACTACTAATGTCATCCCAACGAATCACACATTGTGCATTATTTGCCGACACTGGGACTGGTTGGTAAAAGCGGAGAGGTGGTCGGTTCATGGCATGGTGTCGGGGTATGAATAAAGTATGTACATGACTGGGATTTGTCAGTCCATTACGACTTCCCAGTTGGTGTCTGAGAGATAATGCAACCCAGTGGATTGAAACGTTATCAGACGTGGCTCAGGACAGAAGTCTATGGTAATCGTGTTGTAATTTTCTCTCGCTTTTTTTTTAAGTGACACAATCTTCCAACCAACATAGCTCGATTAAGTCAGTACCACAGACAAGCCCTACCACCACGCCAAGGCAGCAGCTACGGTCGAGCCATATCTGATTAAACTGCCGAAGATACAAAGTCGAAGCTAGATGCATAATTTTCAATCGATAAGTGAGATCTGAGGGAACCGCTAGGTTCCAGTAATTGGAAAGTCTTCATTACTCAGAACAGTTCGTAATCTTTGTGACATGGACAAAAACTGTTTCAAGTGGAAAAACCATATTTACACTTTGTTATTTAAACATTTTGTCTTTCAATTACAAATGTTATGAACTGAAATATTGAGGATTAGAACTATGTAGTTAGTGAGAATTCTGAATCACTTTGAGAAAACGCTCATTACTAACAGACAGCAACAAGAGAGCTGTTGACAGCGAGGTATTGAATACAGAATACGTTGAATTGACCTGTAAAAGATGCTAGAGTGACGTGCATGAATTAATCATACTGGAAGTCGAAAAACCTGATATGTCATTTATTTATTATTTATTATGTAAACACATAAACAATGGTACAGGGGGGCACTAAGTACATATGCGCCACACAATAACAATGAGACCAGTAGCAGTTATCACTGATTTATGTGAGGGCTGTGATACTGCCAGGGTGCCCAGACTTAAGATGGTTTTCTTATGAGGGCAACACCCCGAGCCTTTGACCTAAAGGTCTGATTCACAAGGTAGTGGGGTAACTTAAGGAGATGCAGTCCCATGGTAGACAGTGACTAACAATAGGTTCATACTCTATTTGTTTCCTTAAGATCCTGGAGCCCATGTGCACCAATGGTTTAGAATCAGGGTTTCCCAACTCCTCTAGGTGGGTCCTTCGGAACCGGTTAAAGCGCCGCGAGAAAGCAGTGAACAGGACTTCCTTGGCAGTAGTTGTATGCAAGTGCCCATGTGAGAGCATTTCGAGAGGGAGCGCTGACTCTCACCACTCTTGGCCGTACCAGGGCATTAAAGAGCATGTCATTTATCCACCTTTGAGTGGGACTTAATGAAATAGATTGTAATTATCGATCACGAATTACGTCACGTAAATCTGAGTAATTAAAATATAAATTATCATTGCGAAAACAAACAAAAAGTGCATTTTTCACACTAAAAATAGTGACAGTTCTCCAGAAGCAGTAAGTTAAGTAAAGAATTATATGTCTAACATCTGTTCAGCAACTTAAAAACGACTAGTGTTATGCTAAATCTAAATTTTTCACCTTAAATTCATTCATGGCTTTCCCTACTTCTCGGCGTTTAATCTCGGCTTCAACAGACTTTTTACTAGTTTCCTCTTCTTTGCGTTGTATTTGAGTCTGAATTTGTTGATAAGCGCGTTCTACTCGTTCTTGCAAAGGTTGTTCACAACTTCTAATTTGAGTCTCCGACATAGATGACACTGATGGCTCTATCATATCTGATCTGAAAGCCTGTTCGGTGTCATCATGCAGCTCATTCTCGGATATAATGCTTGCAGTAGTTGAGTCCACGTCTGAAAATAGTTTGAGAAAATGAATTGAGATATTAAAGGTTTAAAATTCAGTTTTGTAAGAATGTGTGAACCAATACAAGTATATTTCTTGCTAGAAAAATAAATTGCTTAAAAGATAGTATACCATGCCTAATGAAAATTTCAGTATTCCGTTTTGAATAGAAGAAAAAGTTTATCTTCACTATAATTTAAATCTTGGAAATATATTGATCATTTGAATTTAATATTATAAATAAGTATTCGTAGACTGACAAATAGTGTGGTTACAAACACATTTTCTAAGTGTTTCTGACAAAGAGTATAATCCAGTTGATTTTACTAGATAATAGTAAAATAGAGCCTATTTAAAAAAGAAACTTCAGTTCTTATGACAAAAGTTTAGCCACCCACAGTTATCAGTTATATTACTACAGAGAAGTTGATAAATGGACGAGGTTTGTAATTGTTAAAACTAATGAATAAAATGTCGATTGATAGATGAAATAGGATGATACGCTATCGCCATGATAGCCGCTCACGAGACCGAAGTATTAGTTCAAATCCCCGAATAAACTGATAACAAAAACAAGAGAATTAGCTAGAATAGGATTTGTTTAGCAGATACAGTAAAATACTCGGATACAAATAATTAGTCGGAAAATTAACGTGATTAAATTTCATAATTCATTGGAGGAAATCAGTTTTTTAAATCCCTAGCTCATCAGTGAATCAAGGCCCTATTCTTGCCTTTTACATTATCGATCTTGGGACAGAATGACTGATCTGTGTTGTTGTTCAAAAGATTAACGAGCGCAAGAAAGATATAACCATCCCTAAGAAAGTAATAAATTTGCATAGGACATCCATATAGGCTCAAGTTTACAACAGTTATCGGTTGTCATGAGTTACACTTTCGATATAACTAAGGCAAATATGTAGCAAAGTGTATCAGAAAGTCAACTCACTCACCAGGTACTTGGGTGTGAGCCACACTATAAGTGTGTAGAGTAATAAGGCTATCTGGTTGCCCAAATCGAAGTAAGAAGAGGGGGTTCGACCCAGGGACTTAGTGCATGAGACATGTGCATCAACCAGGCATGGATAAAAGTATTCTAGAAATATATTTGCAAAAGATTAAAATTTTTGTCTGCATTGACACGTTGTTTGTATGTAGTGCTTTTACAGTTGACAATTTCACTAACAGCCACATCATTAAAACCACCTGTTTCTCTATACCAGTGGTCAATATTTTCAGCAATAGTTAACAAATGAAGTAAAGTGGAATATTTTATTTTTGTCGAATACAGGGTACGTGATTCGAAAGCCCTCATTAAGAGCATGATTGTCAATCTGTCATATTTGCAACATAAACATAACAGTAAGTAATAATTGGGTCACTCTTACACTTGGCGGATTTCACTGACTATCTGGTTGTGTGGAATACTGGTTTTCTTAACATAATTCTATTATCATTACAACCAATATTAATACAGTTCCCAGTCACGTGTCATCGCCCATGCAATTACTGTTCAAGTTGAAGTATAGGTAATAATTTATACTAGTTACTTAGGACGGAATGATGAGCAGTTGCTGCCAGATATATTAATAATTTATCCTTTCAATCAATGATTAAGCAATATTTTCTAGTCTACAACCATAGGTTACAATTATCTAGCGAACTCCAACCTGGAAGTCTGAAACCCCTAAAGTAGCTCAAAGTGATAGTTAATTTTCAATAGAGTGATAACATATTTTTGTCCTGGATATCCTTGGCTATTTTACAGCCTACTCTAAGGCTAACTAAAATCGCAACAGGTGAGCAATGGTGGGGAGTCTAGATAAATGCGTTTACATACAGCTTTACGGTTAATTCGTTTTTCACCCTATTTACATAGTTGGACACTTATCTTAAGTGGAAATATTGTATTCGTTGAGTATCGAATGGAGTCTACAAGATTACATGTGGGATAATTACAAAACAAAGAAGTCTACTTAGTTAAGTTAAGAGTGACAAATGTTAAATTAAGCCAATATTAATTTGTAAAACACAAATTGTTTGTTGCAAACTAACTTACTATTAACTGGTCCAAATCCTGACTTCTTTATCCAGTCCACTAAACTTTTACTCTCAATACGACCCAGCTTTATATCTATTACTTGCCCAGTGGAACCAATCAGGTAAATACAAGGAACAGTAAGGACTGCATAAACTGCTGAAAACTGAACAGCAGCATGAGAAGAAGCTTCTAATTGAAGGCCTGAAAAGTTATTAGTAAATCTGTTTATTAGAGTTCGAAAACGTACAAGACTGACAAACAGCGACATAAATTGCACAATAATGAAAGACGAGATTTTTCAGTTGGAACAATTAAAGTTCATCAAACCCACAACTATCGTGTCCAAGCAAAAACCATGTTATTTTAATCTACGTGTAAGTGGATTGTTTCTAGTACTAAAATTATCAGCATTTAGGTACTAGTTATCTGAGTAAATAGGTGAATCCACTATGAGACAACTATAGGTGAAAAATATCTTTTGTTTTGCCTGGCTGTCAGGTAATATGAATAATGAATATATATAAGAGTGAATTACTGATGAATTATATCCCAATATTATTACAGAGAATTGATGTATAAACATTAAAAGCCGAACTTTAATCTCTAGTAAGTGGAACATTTATACCGTGGTAATAACCAACATAGTAACTAAAACGTGAGCCATTCCGATCCAGGAAATGTACTAAACTGAACTTCATTTTTGAGTTTCCATAAGTGGAACACAGAAATGAGAAACCGAATTGATGGTTAGAAGCAAATTATATGTTGGAGTAGTATTACAAGTTCATACAGAGTTCAATCACCTAAGCTGACACACGTACATAGGTCCTATGCCTAAACACAGTAATCCTCTAAGACAGCTATAGTCACATATTAGCAAATTCTAATCTTCTGGATTCTTCATATCCCTTTTTTTCTCCTTCCAAATTTACTTCACTGGATTCAACTCCTGGAATAACATCTTCAAACCCTAATGTTTCCGATTACTGCTTATACTCTTACTAACTCTACCACTACGGGATTTGAACCGACAACTGAACCTCTGTATTAATGTGATATGGCAACTCGAACCGATGTACGTACGTATGAAGTTCCATGTTGTTACTGACTGAAAGAACACATTTCAACCTCTAGAGGTAATGTCCATACTCATGAGAAAATATAGGGAAATGATGAACACTAATCATTGTTTGGTAGGCAGATGAGCATTACAGATGCACGACAAGTGGTAAGAAAGAAGTAGTTTTTGTCCAGATTCTGTCAGCCAGTAACAATTTAATGTTGACTATGCTCCACTTCATAAGTGAAGTGGTCGATGTGCTTAAATACTTCACCCTTTAGTTATACTAGATGCCAGCCCAGATCCAAAACGAAAAAACATGTTGCATCTAAGTCTAGGGAGACGCATTACAAGCAATCTCGTAATATTATTCAAATAATTCGGAAAACTTCCTATCTTAGCCAGTCAGTCAGCTAAAACGTAGAACCAGGCACATATGTGCATCGGTCCAAGTTGCCATACCTCATTAACACAGCAAGATGAACACCGAATTCATAAAAGTAGTTAATTCAGAGGTGGTAATATATAGGAGAAAGATTGCATATAAGGATATAGTACAGGAAGGAAGAATTAGTTCGTAGAAAGAAAGATATGAAGCGATTTTAATCTCTTAGTTTAAGGGAAGACAGGGAGTGTATACACCGACGCCATTGTGATCGATTCTGAGCCATGTCACCAAGAGTCTCCAACCATTGGTTACGATAGTCACGCGGACCCCAACCAAGTAGTCTGCATCTACCAACATGGCTCAGACTAGAAGTTAGTGACTTCAAGCACTGATGCCACGTTCTGGTTTGGCCGCCCCTCACTTTCTTCCAACCATCTCCAACACCGGTTAGCATTGCACGTCGTGGTGATCGGTGTTCAGGCATACGTAACACGTGGCCCAACCATCTCAGTCGATGAAGATTCACAACCTCACCAACTGATTTAACATCATTCCCTAATGCCCTGTGCCTAACCTCACTATTACTTACCCGGTGATCCCAGCAGACGCCAGCAATATTTCTAAGGCATCTGTGGTCAAATACTAGTAGCTTACGAGTGTCTTCAACTCTTAATGGCCATGTTTCGCTGCCGTAAATTAAAACAGAACGGACTGCCGCGCAGTATACTCGTCCTTTTATTGATAGACGGATATCTCGCCTTCGCCAAAGGTGACGTAAGTTGGCAAAAGCCAAACGAGCTTTTCGAATCCGTGCTGAGATTTTGTTCGATACCAACCCATTAGGGCTGATCAGACTTCCAAGATAAGTGAAGTTGTCAACGCGTTCGACTACTTCACTCCCTATCCTTAGTTCAGGTGTTGACGCAGGCCAGTCTTGAAGCAACAACCTGCATTTAGAAGGAGAAAAGCGCATTCCAAACATTCTGGTATTGTTGCTTAGTGCTACCAGAAGACTACATTTTGTCAGCGTCTTTACCAAACAGAATTATGTCATCTGCGTATTGTAAGTCGATAAGTGGACCTCCCGGTAGAAGATCAATACCCGAGAATCCAGTCGATGAGAATGTTATTTCCATTATTAGGTCTATGATGAAGTTAAACAAAAATGGAAAAAGTGGACAGCCTTGACGGACACCACTTGAGGTTGCAAAAGCAGATGACAGTTCGCCATAAGCTCTGACTCGACTGGTAGTGTTCGAGTAAAGAGCCTTTACAAGGTTTATGTACTTCTGAGGTACGCCTTTCAATGACAGACACTGCCACAGAATCTCGCGGTCTACAGAGTCAAATGCTGCTTTTAAGTCAAGAAAGACCACCATTGTCGGACGCCGATAAGTATGCCTGTGTTCTAGAACCTGACGAATGGTGAATATGTGGTCGATGCAGCCACGACCAGGTCTGAAGCCAGCTTGGTTCTCTCGTGTTTGCAGTTCACGAGTCTTAGTTAGGTGTTTGATAATTATCGAGGATAGTATTTTAGATGCCATGTTAGTCAAACTAATCCCTCTATGGTTATCACAGGATGATTTTGACCCCTTCTTATATATTGGGACGATAAGTGATTGTGACCAGTCAGATGGGATTAAGTCCAACTCTCAGATTTTAGCTAAAATATTAGTCGACCTAATCTCTTAAATTGGAATATCATCCTTAAAGACCTCTGGAGCCAATCCATTGAACTAGCTGCCCTTCCTCGTTTTAGATTAACTATAGCCTTCTCAACTTCAGCAAGAGTTGGGGGACCTACTTCAATGTTCCATTCACACTGTTTGGGAATGGAGGGTAGTTGAAGAGTAGCTGAAGGCCAGTTGAACTGTTCTCTGAAATGTTCCGCCCATCGTTCTAAACGTCTGGACTGGGAGCAGATGAGTGTCGTCTTTTTCCGAAATAATCTCACTTACACTTGACTTATTAATTCCAGTTTCTTTTATTAGTCTGTAGAGCTGTTTTGTGTTCCCTATAGTCGCCACCTTTTGCATCTCTTTTGCTTTCGTTACCCACAACTGCTCACGGTCGTTCCTTATACTTTTTTTAACCTAGATCTGATTTATTTACGCTCTTCATCATGTTCAGAACCTGATGGGACGAGTTTGCGAGAATCCATCAGTGTGATAGACCTTGAAGAAATCCAATGGTTCTTTGTAACTCTGTGGTTTAAGTCACTAATAGATGTCACTGCTGTTTCCACAGCCGTTTGTATATCTTTCCAAGCAACATCTGGGTCAGCCTAAGTGTGACCTCAGTTGTTCCTGGAACCTACTTTCGGTTTTCTCGTTACTCAACTTAGTCCTAACGGGTCTTTTTAATGTGGCTTTTTTGCGTCCAGTGAGGCGCAAGCAGATGCGTGCTCGTATTAGGGCATGGTCGGAGTCAAAGCAGGTACTCCAGAATGAGCGACAATCTTCTACCGACCATCTCCGACGATGACTGATGGCAATATGGTCTATTTGAGTCCATCGTTGGTTTGGTGTAGGTGGTCGCCATGTTAGACGATGTCTCTCCTCATGCTTAAAATTTGTGTTTCCTAACAATAAACGATTGTCTGAGCATAGTTGCAGCAGACGATCACCATTATCTGTTCGTTGTGTCGGAATACTAAAATATCCACCTAAATGCCTTTCTGTTTGGTTTAAACTACCTATCTGAGCATTAAATTCACCTGCTACGAGTACTGTGTCTGAACGTTTAGCTTTCTGAAGTTTAAATAGCTTTCTGTAAAATTCATCTTTCACTTCATCTGAGCTGCAGTCGGTGGGAGCGTAGGTAGAAACGACGACCCGACCGAAGCTGCTACCTTGACGTGGTGGTCGGGCTTGCCTATCGTGATGACCCATCCGAGCTATATTGGCTGGAACATATGTTCCTGTAGGTTCTACCATGCCAGGCAGGTCGATTGGTGAACGGTAAGACTAAAAGCAGCAACTCAAAGTCTGAGGGCGAAGTCGTACTGCTGACTGTACAGAGGTGTGACAGCAGTAAGGTGTTTCCTTCGGACAATCAGCATGACAGCGATGCTGCCTTCCCACAAGGAGGGGTGGGGTTAGAAAAGGTCGACCCTAAAAATGTCACACCTCACCTTACCTCACGGATTTCCGTCTCCGGCGGTAAGGCCATCTGAAGAACGGAGCTAACACGTCAAAAACCTTCTACAAAAAGGCCGTGCGCGACCGGCCTCAAGCAGTTGTCCCTTGGGCTCTGCGGTCACGCTCCCAGGTCGTTAAGACCAACACTAATCCAATTTCCTTTTCAGGTTCCTCAAGAAATACCCTTCCACGGTGTGGGCAGCCGGGAAGTGACATCAGCCCTCATACCCGTAACAGCACGCGAGACCAAGTTGGTCACATTCAAATCCTTCCTACACCTTCTAATACCTCTCTTATCTCCATGACTAACCCTCCTCACGTCTCTTTATCACCTCGCACCGCTAGGGCAAACGATTCGAGTACGTGGAACTCTATTCCTGGTCTCCTGAAACCACGCTCTAAACTACACGTAGGAGCTTTTAACGTCCGAACACTGTGCCAAATAGGACAGCAGGCTTCCTTAGCTAGAACTTTAGAATCTTACGCCATCGATGTGTGTTGCGTCTCCGAAACGCGCATACAGGATCCAAGTAGCATCATTCATTTGACCTCACCATGCCAAAATAAAGAACCGACTCGATTTACGCTTCGTGTATCTGGAAGCCCTGAT